TATATATATATACATATAGATAGATAGATACATACATACATACATACATAGTTATCTGTTTACTTATTTGTTTAATGGAAATTATTCTTTCAAAAATTTTTTGGAATTTTTTAATATTCTCAGAAACTAGAAGGCAGTTTATCATTTGCTCGTTGCAAATGCAGAAATAATATTCTTAATCCTGTTTCAAAAGCTGTTTAATGATAATGCTTTATAGAAAGAGGCTGAACAAATCACTCTTATGCAGAAAGAGGTCTTTGCACTGGAGCAAGAAAAAAGCTCTCTCGACAGCGCGTTTGCACAACGCAACTCACAGATAGAAAGTGCCGCTCTTCAATTAACCGAGGTTGCTTGAAAAACGTATAGATGGTCATTGTGGAATGGATGTCATGCAAATATTTCTACTTTTTTATTTTTGCAGATGGAAAGTCACGCTGCGAATATGCAAGAGAAAAGGAAGCAAATCGATGCTGAGAATGAGCGCTTAAAACGCACTGCTGAGCGGTTAAAACAACTTATAGATAGCAGTGATGTTGAAACCCTCATGAAAGAGCAAACAGACCTAATGTCTGAATTCCCACCGTTCTCGCAGCAAGTCGGTTCTCTTTTTGGCTTTAACTCGTGCTTCCAATACTTCCATGTATAGCAACAAATTTGAATATTAAGATAAACTTGCAGGTGAACACAAAGTCTGCTTTCTCAAATGCGGCTGATCCTTTTATAGGAAGCGCTTCATTAGGTATGCGAGTTAATTTTGTTATTTGTATTACTGTTTAGTTTTTTCTCGTTATAACAAATAGCGGGACCATATTTACTCTACCAATTATTATGTTTTTTCAGGGGGTGGAGATCCATTTGGTTCAGACCCGTTTGCCTCTGCAAGTTCTTCAACTTTCCAAACCTTTGACGAACCCTTCGGGGCACAGAAAGATCCTTTTGGGTCGTCGGACCCCTTTGCCTCGGGAGCACAAGGGCCAGCAAGCAGTGGAGGTTCAAAATCAATTCCCCCGCGACCGGCCCCACCAAAGTCAAGACAAACTCCCACAGCAAATGCTGAGGCAGATCCTTTCCAAAACAAGTAAATCCTATCACGGTTTTATATATTTTGTGCTTTACAGTTTTTCATTAATCGAAAATATACTAAACAAGTTTCAGTGACCCCTTCTCGTCAACAGCTACCCCTTCAAATACTGGGAGCCAGTTTGCCGATTTTGCAAATTTCGCTGCTTTCTCATGAAATATTTCGTTCCTTCTGCTCTGTACTTCTAGTTCGGCTTGCTCAGAACCATCAAATCCTTTAATCCCTACAAACTTCGGGGTCCAGTCTGCTCTTGGGATTCTTTCGTAAAAATGAATTTGAAATAACTGCTGTACAATTTCGAGTTTTTCATCCCACCCTTCGGTGCTGAATGAATCGACTTGTAATAAAATTTTCAATACACCCTCCAAGATAAAAACACAAGCCTGGTTACTAGGGAATAAAAGACACGGTGGGAAAAACGACGAGAGTTCCTAAAATTACGCGTTATCTCTTACCTTACTTCACAACTGTAACCTTTAAAATTTAAAACACGACTTCCACAGAACAAATCCTCCGGGACGATGCATTTCAAGCAGTACATCATAAATCTCCCCCCCCCCCTCCCCGAACATGACCAGCACTCACCACCTGCGAGGTACTTGACTACTGGCAGTGAGCGACTGCCTGCCTTCAAACCCAAACAGCTCGGCAAAAATGGTTGCCCTAACTGACACTTCCTACAATAGAATTTCATGTTGGGAGCCTTGAGACGTATCGATCCTCGGCCAACAACACGCCCTACACATACAACTCGACAGGCCCTATCTTACCTTTGCGGATTATCCCTATAGAATCAATACTTGGCCCCCTACAAAACTGCCAGCCAAACGCAATAGGTTGATCAGCACTTTATTGCAGAAAGGAACTTAGTTTTTTGCCAATTGGAAAGACAATGTTCAAAACACGTACAATTACGATTCACAAGCTCCTTTTTCTAAAAAAGAAATAACACACAAAAAGAGTTCAAGAACCAACATCATCACAATAAAAGACAAAACCAAAAGAATCTTTACACTTATATATAGCACTTTCCTCCATATGAAAAGTGATCAACTCAGCAACAGATGAACCAAAAACAAAGAATTTGTGGGACCAAAAGGAATTGCTTGTCCAGTCGGCTAGAATGTAATACCAAGAAATCTAAATGAAATACATTTGTGGAGCTTCCGCCGATGCTCTCAGTTCTGATTGCCTAACTTCACGATCGCCCTTTTTTCGTCTGAAATCAATAGAGGCTCTAAAAAAGCACGTTTCCGGACCCTTTGCAATTCCTATTGCAAAGGCAAAAGGGAGTCATTTAAAGTTGCGACCAAGCAGGGACACGACTCCCCGTGAAGAAAAAAAATTGGTTGACTTAAACCTCAAAAAACTAAATCTGCTGAAAACTTTCCAAGTCTGACCCTTTTACACCACTGTTACCGCCTCTTAGAACGACTTAGTAAAGAGCAGCGAATTTCCAAAATGAAACAGCGGTTTGGAACAACTTTCAGTAAACTACAGCTGTACTTACAGAGCATATGAGTGAACACTGGCTCTCGCACAAGCAAGATGAGCATAAAAAACCGGTGCTGGAATGGAGACAGATTTATTAGTCCTAGCATACTGATGACATAATCCGAAAGTAAGTTCCTAAAAATAAATCTTCCAAAACAATACCTTTGCCTCCCAAAACTTTTATTTAAATACTTATAAGCAAAGCAGGTAGAGTATCTACACATTTGCAAAAGAAGCAATTATGTAAAATCCTAAACCAACCTGCCATTCATCAGATGTACAGCCCCAATCGTCATAAAGCAAATAATAGTGACAAGGCCTAGTTGTTCCCTACAAACACTTGGTAAATCGTCAATAAACAACCAAATAGTAATTTAACAAACCCAAATCCAATATAAGTAATCTGAGACGCTAAACTACAGAATAAAAAAAAAAAAAA